TAATGCATGCCAACTGTGCTACAATGTTCATACTTCCTGTCCACTTGTGGTGCCAAGTGTTAAGTTTGCATGCACTTGATGAAGCTGTCGAGTCAGAACATAAGAATGCCTTCAAGTTTGATTGGCCAAAGTTCCTTCCTGTCCATCTCTGTGAACGTTGCATGACATGCACATTTATTTTGAACTCTTTAATATCCCAAAGCAAAGCCCAATTTGTATGTTTTCTTGCATTTTCATAGCTAAGCTGATGAATTTGTTTTAGTTGACTTAGAGAATTGAAGCGGGGATGAGCTCGATTTTGTCTTGATGGCACATACATGTGTACTCGCATCTGAAGCACGTTTTTGTGATGAAACTAGTCAATCAAATCTTTCTGTTGCGTGTGTGAAAATACCGGTACAATGGAAGACTTTTTTTCATTGAATTGTTCTGTTCATGTCTGTCATGCCTCAGCTCCGTGTTCACCGAACCCTTGCCTGAATGGTGGGATCTGTGTGGAGTCAAACGGCACATTCTCTTGCTACTGCCCCGTCGATCGCCACGGGCCCCTCTGCGAAAGTAAGTTAGCACTTAGCAGGTGTTTAAAATTTGTACAGAAAGCAAACTTCAAAGTGGAGTCAGTTAAGTTGACAGACCTATTTTGTCATGTATTTTGGGTAAATCTGGATAGCAAAATGAGTACTTTGCAAAACGTCCCCCCCTGCTTTTCCTGTGGTCATAAACGATACATTAACAGCCTGGGAAGTATATGCACATTTCGCTTGCATGTAAAAACTCACACCAAAGTTGCTGAGTTTGCCTCACCTGCTTAAAGTGCAAAAGTGACTGAATCATATGAATCCATGTTGCTTGGCCTGTTACTTGGGCCTGAGGGGCAGTGGCGTAGCCAGGATCGAGGGGGTTGTGTCCCCCACAAAGTCCCAGTGCCCTCCTCCCCCACTGAAAAAAAAAAGGGATGAATGGATCTTGAAAAAGGCTGCCAAAACTTGCCCCCCATAACCACACCACTGAGGCTGGAGCCCCCCGTGGGATTCTGGTGCCCCCTTTGGGCCCCCCATTAGTAAATCTTAGCCACACCACTGCTGAGAGGGGATCCTGGCAGCCTCATGATAAATTGAATGGAGTCTTACATAACGGCTTATATCAGGATATGGCAATCCACATAGTCACATGGTTAATGCAAGATGAAGTGCCAATACATATGTATGTGGGAAGCTATCATAAACAGTAGGGACAAGACATTAAGATTCACTAGAAATCATTATTGCCATGCACCCACAAAACGATGAATCACCGTTACTAAAGAAAGGAAATGTGAATGTTGGACACCGAAGACAAAAGCCCAGTAGTGTGTCATAAACAGTCCATGCAACTCTGAGGGTTTTCCCGACATCAGTTTTGCTTGTGAGTGGGAAACTTTACAAGGCTTTAAAACCAAATGGCACCAATATACCTTTAAAATAGCAAAACAAAAGTTGTACACAAGTTTACTTTAACTGAAAAACAAATGTTTCTTCAAGGTTGTTTCAAAAAAGCACATTTTGCAGAGACTCTGAAAATTCAAAGTTTTAGACCTCGAGTTCAACTGAATTGCATGTTGGAAAACATCGTTTTGGATAAATTTTCACACCCTTTGCAGATCCGGTCATCTCCTGCAGCGCTAACCCCTGCCTTAATGGCGCCACCTGCCTTAACACGGCAACAGGTTACGAGTGCATCTGCACATTCGGATGGTCGGGGGACAACTGCGGAACAAGCCGTAAGTTTGTTTCCTTTTTTTTGGTAACTTTATTACTTTTAATTTGCCACAATACAGAAATATAAGACAATACAGTCAAATCAAGAAGTAAAGAATATACAGTTAGACCTACATGTACACCTCTAAGGAAAGTGCCAAGGAAACACCATTTTTGTAATTTCAAGACTACACAGAGATCTCATCAAAATAGGAATAAAACTTGCATGTGCTNCAATGCATGCCAACTGTGCTACAATGTTCATACTTCCTGTCCACTTGTGGTGCCAAGTGTTAAGTTTGCATGTACTTGATGAAGCTGTCGAGTCAGAACATTAGTATGCCTTTAAGTTTGATTGGCCAAAGTTCCCTCCTGTCCGTCTCTGTGAACGTTGCATGACATGCACATTTATTTTGAACTCTTTAATATCCCCAAGCAAAGCCCAATTTGTATGTTTTCTTGCATTTTTATATCTAAGCTTTTGAATTTGTTTTTTGTTCGATGAGCTCGATTTTGTCTTGATGGCACATACATGTGTACTTGGATCTGAAGCACGTTTTTGTGATGAAACTAGTCAATCAAATCTTTCTGTTGCGTGTGTGAAAATACCGGTACAATGGAAGACTTTTTTTTCATTGAATTGTTGTTCTGTTCATGTCTGTCATGCCTCAGCTCCGTGTTCACCGAACCCTTGCCTGAATGGTGGGATCTGTGTGGAGTCAAACGGCACATTCTCTTGCTACTGCCCCGTCGATCGCCACGGGCCCCTCTGCGAAAGTAAGTTAGCACTTAGCAGGTGTTTAAAGTTTGTACAGAAAACAAACTTCAAAGTGGATTCGGTTAAGTTGAGAGACCCATTTTGTCACGTATTTTGAGTATATTTGGATAGCAAAATGAGTACTTTGCAAAATGTCCCCCACTCCTTTTCCCCTGGTCATAAACGACACATTAACAGCCTGGGAAGTATATGCACATTTTGCTTGCATGTAAAAACTCACACCAAAGTTGCGGTTTGTTGTGGGGAGCTTTGCTGAGTTTGCCTCACCTGCTTAATGTGCAAAAGTGACTGAATCATATGAATCCATGTTGCTTGGCCTGTTACTTGGGCCTGAGGGGCAGTGGCGTAGCCAGGAGGGGGTTGTGCCCCCCACAAAGTCCCAGTGCCCTCCTCCCCCACTGAAAAAAAAGGCTGCCAAAACTTGCCCCCCAAGACCACACCACTGAAGCTAGCGCCCCCATGGGATTCTGGTGCCCCCTTTGTGCCCCCCAAAGCTACGCCACTGCTGAGAGGGGATCCTGGCAGCCTCACGATAAATTGAATGGAGTCTTACAAAACGGCTTATATCAGGATATGGCAACCCAAATAGTCAGATGGTTAATGCAAGATCAAGTGCCAATACATATGTATGTGGGGAGCTATCATAAACAGTAGGGACAAGACATTAAGATTCACTAGAAATCATTATTGCCATGCACCCACAAAACGATGAATCACCGTTACTAAAGAGAGGAAATGTGAATGTTGGACACAAAGACAAATCCCAGTAGTGTGTCATAAACAGTCCATGCAACTTTGAGGGTTTTCCCGACATCAGTTTTGCTTGTGAGTGGGAAACTTTACAAGGCTTTAAAACCAAATGGCACCAATATACCTTTAAAATAGCAAAATAAAAGTTGTACACAAGTTAACTTTAACTGAAAAACAAATGTTTCTTCAAGGTTGTTTCAAAAAAGCACATTTTGCAGAGACTCTGAAAATTCAAAGTTTTAGACCTCGAGTTCAACTGAATTGCATGTTGAAAAGCATTGTTTTGAATAAATTTTCACACCCTTTGCAGATCCGGTCATCTCCTGCAGCACTAACCCGTGCCTT